CTATCAGCTGGGTCATTTTTTTGTGACCCCAGACTGATAGATGAGCTGCATGAACTGAATTGGACAAGATTGCGAGTAACTTCAGCAGGGATGTGGACATTGAAAGTGGAAGAGCTTGAATTTTCAGAGAATGAATCTCAGCACTGACACTTAAGTAAATTAACTAAATCTAACTGAACTTTTACAAACCATAAGTGGAAGGACATTGATTATAGGGAATTTATAGTCCTGAAATAATGAGTTATTTTGGGGACTCTAGGTTCCTTTTAATCCCTTACGGATCCATGACAATATAATTCTGTCATGCAGTATTTTACCAGCAGGGACTCTTTAGGGGAACAGCAGGTATAATTTTTAGTGGATCCAGGTTGGCAGATGAGCTGCATGTGGGTCATGCAGCTCATTCATTTGGGATTAATATCCATGTAGGCTGTAATTTCCTATGAGCAGGGTTAAAGGACCACTATAGGCACCCAGACCACTTCAGCCACTGAGGGTTAATCCAGCCTCTAGTGGCTGTCTCACTGACACAGTGAGAAGACGCTGACGTCCATAGCAAAGCATTGAGTAATGCTTTCCTATGGGCAGTTTGAATGCGTGCGGCTCTTGCCGCGCATGCGCATTCGGCGCTGATGTCAGCAGAAGGAGGAGAGTTCCCCAGTGCCGAGGAAGCCCGGCGCTGGAGAAAGGTAAGTGGTTGAAGGGATTTTAACCCCTTCAGCCCAGCGGGAGTGGGGACCTAAGGACTACATAGTGCCAGGAAAACAAGTTTGTTTTCCTGGCACTATAGTGCTCCTTTAAATCAGATCCAAGTATCAATCAATACATGGGGCTTCCCTCTGGCATATGGGACCACAGTTAGTGGCCCAAGACTGATTGATGAGCTGTATGCAGTTTGTGCACTGAAGAGCACCATGGCTGAACAATTAAGTTCAGCCACGATTATTCTCTGTGAGCTGCTTGCTTGAGGGAGGTTTCTATGGTCTAAACAGGCACTGAGAGGGTCTAGCTCAATGCCCCATTTCCATTTGACTAGTGTTGAACTTTGCTTGTTCCCCATCACCAACCACAGTGTAATGGCGTTTTCGCTAGATAAGGATATATATTCCTGCCATGCTGATGGTATTAACATACCGGTTTCTACTGTTTTAGGTTAGAATTTCCTTTGTCAATATCAGTAATGCTATTAGCAGAGGGAAACCCTTGGGGTTAGGGTTAAGATTAGATTTAGGATTGCATTACGATAATATTAAGACTAGTATTTAGATGTACTATTAAGTTTAAAATTAGCTTCAGTATTAAGGTTCAGTTTTCATAGCTACATAGCTGAAAAGAGACTTGCGTCCATCAAGTTCAGCCTTCCTCACTTTTGTTTTTTGCTGTTAATCCAAAAGAAGGCAAAAAACCCAGTCTGAAGTGCTTCCAATTTTGCAACAAACAGGAAAAAAATCATTCTTGACTCCAAAATAGCAGTCAGATATCTCCTTGGATAAGCAGCAATTACCCCACTAATTAAAAATTATATCCCTGTATGTTATGTTTTTGTAAGTATTTATCCAATTTCAGTTTAAACATATGTATGGACTGATAAAACCACCTCTTCAGGCAGAGAATTCCATATCTTTATTGCTCTGACTGTAAAAAAACAAAAACTTTTCTTTGCCTTAGATGAAATCTCTTTTGTTCCAGCCTAAATGCGTGACCTTGTGTCCTATGTATAGCCCTGTTTAAGAATAGATTTCCAGATAATGGTTTGTACTGGCCCCGAATATATTTGTATAATGCTATCATATCCCCTCTGAGGTGCCGTTTTTCCAAACTAAAGAGATTTAAATTCTTTAACCTTTCTTCATAACTAAAATGCTCCATTTCTTTTATCAATTTTGTAGCTCGTCTCTGCACTTTTTCTAGTGCCATGATATCCTTCTTTAGAACAGGTGCCCAAAATTGCACAACATATTCAAGGTGTCTTACCAGCGATTTATAAAAAGGCAAAATTATATTTTCATCCCGAGGATTTATGCCCCTATTTATACTTTACTGGCCTTAGCAACTAGAGATTGACATTGCACATTGCTGCCTAATTTGTTGTCTAAAACAATTCCCAAATCCTTCTCGTGTGTGCTTAACCCTAATTTACTACTATTTAGGGTGTAAGTTGCTTGTGCATTCTTGACCCCGAAGTGCATAACTTTGCATTTCTCTACATTAAATTTCATCTGCCATTTTAGTGCCCAGTCCCCCAATCTATCTAAATCCCACTGCAGCAAAACAATATCCTGCTCACATTTTATTACTTTACAAAGTTTTGTGTCTGTAAGGAAACCAAGTATATTCAAACCTCATTCGGTAGTTTCCTCCCGAACCGCCAGAGCCTTAGTGATTATAGCCCTCCGTTCGGTAGATAGGGTAGACGAATCCTATAGTAATTCCAATAGCTTCACAAGATAATTCCCTTAGTGAAACACACGAATCCCCAAACTTCAGCCGAAGTCAAGAAGAAGGGTGCAAAATGAACTGAGCTTTAATGGGTGCACACAGCTTTTATGCAAGTCCCCATGCAAGGGTACAGCCCTCAGGGAGGGACAAACAATAGTCAATCATAAACAGTAAAATGTTAGCACACACCTACTGTAACGGATCGCCTGGCACCCCGATTGGATACCTCCGTTGAAGGATGCGCCTAGCACTTCCTGAGGACTCCAAGCACTCTGGCAGACACCACAACCACCGAACTGGTCAGGATTTCCTCGCACCGGAAGGGTCGAATTTCGTCGATGTCCTCCTTCCAGAGATCGGTACGAAGCGCCACCCTCCACTCTGTCTCTCTTTCCTCTGGGATAGGATACTCCATACTGCGCATCACATCCTGTAGTCGCTGCTGGAGCCTGGCGTCAAAGTGAGATACTGCACGGCCTTCCATCTCTGAAGTAGTGCTGGTTTTCCCAAATCTTTATGTAGACAGGGACGCTGTATGAACACTAGCGTCACCTTCAATTTGTAAATCCACGAACTGTGTCTCTGAGCTGCTTTACCACGCACTAGGACGCCATCCCACCGCTTGCCACCAATGTAACGGATCGCCTGGCACCCCGACTGGGTACCTCCGTTAAAGGATGCTCCTAGCGCTTCCTGAGGACTCCAAGCACTGCAGCAGACACCACAACCACCGAACCGGAGAAGCATATGAATCCTCTCAAGCATATGAATGCTGTAGACAGTTGAATAGGAACCATAGGAATAGGTTTACTCTCCTAGCAGTCAAACTGGAACAGCATACAATAAATCCTTCCCCCAATAATGAGACGACACTTCACTTTGAGGGTTTAAAACAGGAACTCCCTGTACTGTCACATACAGTCTCTTTTATTCCCAATCCACAAACATAGTACAGCCCACAGGGCGTTACAAAACAACCAATCACATATCAGTTACATCCCACATATTCCCTCCCCTTATCCTGAGAGGAAACTCAATTACACATACAGTTAAAAACATACTTTCTACCCAACTTTCATAACTCTAAAACCATACATCACATTCACATAAAATTACATATTCACAATCAATCCATTCAGGGGAACAACATATTAAAAAATGGCACGAATCAGACCAGGGGTTCAAAAGTTAAGGGAAAGTCCTTTGTGACTAAATGAAGCATGGCTTTCTAGCCCAAACCAGTTTCAGAGTCTTCTATCCTGGAGAGTAATTCAATTATCTCCCAGGACAGACACAAGACTCCATTAAGCACATGGTTGCAAAAAGACACAAAACACTTTAAAATACATAAAGTCACATTTTACACATAACACACAGACATTTCACATATCCCCAGATAGCTCAGGTCTGAGCGCACATTATTAAGTGAATGGCGCTCGGACCACACAAATACAGTTTAATCGCCATGGAACCAAAGTCTTTATAGTCAGTTTCATACGAATGGGCTCCATGGGATTCCTATCTGGGGTATAACACATTCACATAAGGTCTGGTCCATAGTCCAAAGGCAAGAGGCGGGCAAGCAGCCCCCTCCAAGGACACGTGGCGAGGCCGGTTTCGCCACATTTCTCCCTTTTACCATCCAGACTAACAGGGTATCTGACCTCCTGCCGGTCAGTGCCCTGGTTAGTCCTGCAACCCACCCACGAAGCACAAACAGCAATACAGCCTACCCACAATAACTGGTTACTACACCTGGATAAAATATCAACTTGTCCATGTCCAGGTGCCTCACCACGGCTGTGCGAGGGGCTGGTAGACTGCCTTGGTGGGTTGCTGAGTGGGCAGAGACCAGCGGTACTCTGCCCGGGTGCCAGCGCTACCACTGAAGTAGCCTGGTTGGAGCCTGGTTGGGGGAGGGGGAGACCGACTGTCTCCCCTCTGGATACACTGCTCTGTGGCTGGGGGACAGGACTGACCGTCCCTGCCCCTGGGGCTGCAAGTGCAGAGACTACGGTCCCATCTGCATAGTTGTGGGGCTTAACATCTCCCCTTGGTGGGTTAGGCTGCCGCTGGAGAGAGGGTGTAACAAGCTCCTCTCTCTGAGCTGTAGACTGCCGCTGGGGAGAGGGGGTAACCTGCTCCTCTCCCTGACACTCTCTTTGCTGGTGGAGAGGGGGACCAACTGTCTCCCCTTTCAATATTTTGTCCTGCGGCTGGGGTGCGAGACAGATGGTCTCTGCTTCCTGGGGTACACACTGCCGCTGGGGAGGAAGGACGGCACCTTCATCTCCCTGGGGTACACGCTGCCGCTGGGGAGAGGGGATAACAAGCTCCTCTCCCTGACACTCTCTCTGCTGTTGGAGAGGGAGACCGACTGTCTCCCCTTTCAATAATTTGTCCTGTTGCTGGGGAGAGGTGATAACCGGTTCCTCTCCCTGGAACACTCTCTGCTGTTGGAGAGGGGGACCAACTGTCTCCCCTTTTAATATATTGCCCTGCTGCTGGGGAGCGAGACCGACTGTCTCCGCTTCCTGCAGGACACACTCCCGCTGGGGAGGAAGTACAGCACCTTCAGCTCCCTGGGATACATACTGCCGCTGGGGATCTGGGCTGACTGCCCAGCATCCCTGTAGGGCCTGTAGAGAGACCTCGGTCCCATCCCCACCTGCCAGCTGGGTGTCTTCCCAGGACAAGTCAATAAGGTCTTCCATCTCTGGGGCTGGTTGGGACATAGGTGGTACAGTACCAAAGTCTCCTGATAACAGGCTTGGTTGCTGGGGAGGAGGAACTAAACTCAATGCTTCCAGTGGTATACAGTCAATAAGCCCCATCATGTCAAAGACAGGCGGCGTTATACGTTGGAATAGGCAAACATAATCCTGTTCTAGTTCCCACTCTCGGTTGGCAAGAAAAGATAGATCTGGCTGAATGGCATCGATCTCTGTAAGGTCCCAGTTGTCTGCCCACTCAGCTCGGATGGACCAGAAGCGAGCAATGTCGGTGTCTCCGAACCAGAGACTAGTTTCAATAGTATCCCACAACAAACCAGGGCCGTCGTAGTCTTCCCCCTCAATACACTTGTATTCAATCAGCCATGGGTAGAGGTGGTAAACATGCCACCGCAGGGCCCGATAGGAATCATCCAGCCACACCTCAGTCTCAACTAGCGTCTCCAGTTCGCTTACCCATTCCTCTGAGGGCTGGTTTCCCAATAACGGCATCCGCAGCTCTAGTTGTTCTGCTTGGCGCTGGTTAGTGGTCAGGATTTCCTCGCACCGGAAGGGTCAAATTTCGTCGATGTCCTCCTTCCAGAGATCGGTACAAAGTGCCACCCTCCACTCTGTCTCTCTTTCCTCTGGGATAGGATACTCCATACTGCGCATCACATCCTGTAGTGGCTGCTGGAGCCTGGCGTCAAAGTGAGATACTGCACGGCCTTGCATCTCTGAAGTAGTGCTGGTTTTCCCAAATCTTTACATAGACAGGGACGTTGTATGAACACTAGCATCGCCTTCAATTTGTAAATCCACGAACTGTGTCTCTGAGCTGCTTTACCTCGCACTAGGACGCCATCCCACCGCTTGCCACCAATGTAACGGATCGCCTGGCACCCCGACTGGATACCTCCGTTGAAGGATGCTCCTAGCACTTCCTGAGGACTCCAAGCACTGCAGCAGACACCAAAACCACCGAACTGGAGAAACAAATAAATTCTCCCAAGCATATGAATGCTGTAGACAGTTGAATAGGAACCATACGAATAGGTTTACTCTCCTAGCAGTCAAACTGGAACAGCATACAATAAATCCTTCCCCCAATAATGAGATGACACTTCACTTTGAGGGTTAAAACAGGAACAGGAACTTCCTGTACTGTCACATACAGTCTCTTTTATTCCCAATCTACAAACATAGTACAGCCCACAGGGCGTTACAAAACAACCAATCACATCACAGTTACATCCCACATATTCCCTCCCCTTATCCTGAGAGGAAACTCAATTATACATACAGTTAAAACATGCTTTCTACCCAACTTTCATAACTCCAAAACCATACATCACATTCACATAAAATTACATATTCACAATCAATCCATTCAGGGGAACAACATATTCAAAAATGGCACAAATCAGACAAGGGGTTCAAAAGTTAGTAAAAGTCCTTTGTGACTAAATGAAGCATGGCTTTCTGGCCCAAACCAGTTTCAGAGTCTTCTATCCTGGAGATAAGTAATTCAATTATCTCCCAGGACAGACACAAGACTCCATTAAGCACATGGTTGCAAAAAGACACAAAACACTTTAAAATACATAAGTCACATTTTACACATAACACACAGACATTTCACATATCCCCAGATAGCTCAGGTCTGAGCGCACATTATTAAGTGAATGGCGCTCGGACCACACAAATACAGTTTAATCGCCATGGAGCCAAAGTCTTTACAGTCAGTCAGTTTCATACGAATGGGCTCCATGGGATTCCTATCTGGGGTATAACACATTCACATAAAGTCTGGTCCATAGTCCAAAGGCAAGAGGCGGGCAAGCAGCCCCCTCCAAGGACACGTGGCGAGGCCGGTTTCGCCACACCTACAATTCCCTCCCCTAGCCCAGGAGATAATTTAGTCTGATAAAATAGTAACTTAATTATCTCCGGCCTGAAAAATCACTTTTTCCCCAACTTTCAGAACACCCCTTTATACTGGGGGTATCCCCATTATGTGTCCCCTGATAGCCCTGATCTGGGTGACCAACATATTCGAATTTCACCCAGATCGGTTCAGGGGTTCGCAAATTTTATGGAAGTCTTGATTGACTGGCTCACCCTGGGCTGCATGCCCAAAACAGTTCCACGAATTTGGTGGGTTTTGCCGGTCACGTTCGAAAAACATAAAAACTAAGAAAAGTACCGAATGGATCCCTCTGGCTCCTAGCAGCGTTCGTGCCCCTCTGTCGAATGCACCAAAGTACCGAATAGCGCTCTTCTAGCTATTCAGTAAACAGAGTTCCAGCGTTCGTCTGTTTGGGACCGGTGTTCGGGAAGTAGAGTGTCCGCAAAACAGTTCCATGCAATCGACGACCAGGTCCCGCTGCCTTTGTTCGCATGAACAAAGATGGCCGCGGTTTTCTCTGCCACGTGGCGTTCGACTAACGAACGCTGACCGCACAGACAGAGGTAGCAATTTCATTTAAATCTTTGATGTTTAATGAGCCAGAGGGTGGTCCTCATTTGGTAGTTTCATCTACCGAATGCAATAGGCAGTACATAACGAATAAAAAAAAGGGAATGCACACTGTAAATCACATAGGTATAGGGGAATTTCTTCACACTTCTCCCCTATAAGTCCATAGGTCGGCATACCCGTCAAGACCCTGTCGGGTTGGCATGGGGATATCCGAGTAAAGGTCTTTTAAACGTCCAGGTCGGTTTGGCGGGACAGACCGTCTGCATTACCATTTTGTTTGCCCGGACGGTACTGCATGGTGAAATTGTAGGGTTGAAGGGCTAGGCTCCACCGCAATTGTCTGGGATTGTCGCCAGCCACCCGATTTAACCACACCAGCGGGTTATGATCTGTCATAAGAGTAAATGGCCGACCGTACAAATAAGGTTGCAGTTTCTTAAGCGCCCACACTAGGGCTAGGCACTCTTTCTCCACGGTGGCATAGCTGACCTCTCTGGGCAAAGGTTTACGCCCGAGGTAGGCCACCGGGTGTTCCATGCCGTCATCTCCCACCTGGCTTAACACGGCTCCCAGCCCAAACATGGAGGCATCTGTGTGGACAAGAAATTGTTTAGAATGGTCAGGTGCTGCCAACACAGGAGCCTCACTTAATGCCGCTTTCAGTTTCTGGAATGCTTCCGCGCACTCTGGGGTCCAGGTGACCTGTTTGGAGAGGGCCTTTTTGGTGAGGTTGGTGAGGGGTTTGGCCAAGGTGCTACACTCGGGGACAAACTTCCGGTAATAGCCGGCTGTACCTAAAAAGGCTAGAACCTGGGTTTTGGTCCGGGGTTGGGGCCAGTTCGCTATGGCCTCTACCTTGGCAGGCTCGGGCCGCTGTTTACCTGAACCTACCCTGTGGCTGAGGTACTGTACCTCAGCCATACCAACCTGGTGAATGCGCTCGAGCACCCTGAATACGTGGCCCAGGTGATCCCCCCATGTGCGGCTGTAGACAGCTATATTGTCTAAATACGCACATGCGAAGTCCTGGAGCCCCTGAAAGGTAGCCGGAGCATTCTTCATCCCAAAGGGCATAACCTTAAATTGGTAAAGCCCAAAAGGAGTGACGAATGCCGACTTGGGTATGGCTGCAGTCTCCAGGAGGATCTGCCAGTACCCCTTGCACAAGTCCAGGGTGGTCAAGTAGTTGCCCCCAGCCATACGATCTAGCAACTCATCTATTCTGGGCATCGGGTATGCATCCGTTATGGTGCGATCGTTGAGCCTCCGGTAGTCTACACAGAAGCGCGTGGTGCAGTCGCGCTTCGGTACTAGTACTACCGGAGATGCCCAAGGACTTTGAGAGGGTTCTATTACCCCTAACTTAAGCATGTCTCGAATTTCCGCTAGTATACTTTCACGAACTGCCTCAGGAATACGGTAGGGCTGCTGCCGTAGCGGCGTTTCTCCCTGGGTTTCTACCCGGTGTACTGCAGTGGAGGTATAGCCTGGGATGGCGGAAAACATGTCCTGGTATTCCTGGAGCAGTTGCGACGCTTCCCCTCGCTCTAGAGGTTTAAGGTTCTGACCTAGGCTTACCTGGTCAATACTACAAGGTGAGGGGTTTAACAGATCGGGGAGGGGAAGTCCCTCACTATCTTCTGAGGAGGGGGCACATACTGCGCCCACATCTTCCGTTGTCTCGTAATACGGTTTAAGCATGTTTACATGAAAGGCTTTGGTCAGCCTTTCATCTGAACATTTACTCACAATGTAGGTGGTATCACTGATCCGCTCTACCACCTTAAAGGGCCCCTGCCAGGCCGCCTGCAGCTTATCTTTCTTTGCGGGTCTAAGAGCTAGCACTTTCTGGCCTATGTCTAAGACCCTATCTCGGGCACCCCTATCATACCACTTCTTCTGGTAGTCCTGTGCCGCCTGCAGATTCTCCCGAACGGAGTCAGTGAGGGTCCGCAGTCGTTCGCGGAACTCCAGAACGTACTGAACGATAGGGACTCCCCCATCATCTGTGTTGCTCCCGTACGAGATCCAGGGGGCCCCGA